CTTGCATCAGAAGAAGCAGCTGGAATTTTCCATCTAAATCATAGTAATCTTGTGTCATGTTACAGAAGGTTTATTCAACTTGAACTCTTGGACACTGTCAGATGCTAGAGCAATGGGTGTTCTAGTAATGAAACAAAACACTTAAGATGATCTTTTATTTGATTCTTGAGCATGAATGACCCTGTTTAAGAGGCTAAAGTCTGAATAGCACATTCATTCTTCTGATTTATTAATGCATGTCTAGTTCTTCTCAAGGCTACTTGGAGCACTACCATTGCAGCAGGATCTAGGCGGAAAATGTCAGTTATGCACACAGGGATCTGTTAGATGCAAATATCAGTCAGTCATACAGGGGCTCACACAAATGTACTAAAATACTTCTAATGTGGGTAGAATGCTGCTAGTCAAGGTAGTCCATTATTGGTAAATGTATCTGGCTCTACAGCTTTGACTCTTGCTAGTCATTGTATGTATTGCTGTTAGCCTTTAGTCTATTTCTCAGCCTGCAAAATTGAAGTCTTGAGTTCACTTAAGTGGACAGCTTGTTTACCAGCCTTCTGAAAACAGCTCTTATGTCAAGAACTTGATTGCTAGAGATATTTCTAAGGATGCATTGTACACGTCCTGATACAACCTTCTAACCAGAAGAACTTGACTGACTCTTTGAGAAGGTGGTGAGGAGGGAAAAACCTGCCTTTTGGAAGCATGTTCAGCACATGAACTATTGCTGTGCTTCTGGCTACTGCTTCATCCTAACAGGCTATGTTGCACTTGGAAGTAAAAGCTTCTCTTGTCCTCTCCTGGCCTCTAATTTGAGGTTAATATTTACATGCAACAACTCTTTAAGCTGAATCATGTATTTGCAGTATCAATGGACAAAGAAGGAGCACAGGCTGTGAAAAGAACAAAGTAGTATACTGCTGAGCAGATGCCTAGTTTATCTGCCTTGTCTCTGACTTTTCAGTGTCCCTAACTGCTTGTTTCTCAGGCAAGCCTTCATCAACATGGAGGCAACTACCTTTGTCTGCTGAGGGGAAAAAGCCTGTCTGTTGGGTGATGATTATTGTCCAGTCTTTAAGTCCCATGACAGACTACAGCCATAAAGAAGATTCTCTATCCCCTGTGCACAGGACAAAAATATATATTATTAAAGGTAGCTTCCATGTTGACACCCTTTGCTCAAATAAGGGATAATTGTGAAAGCATCTCTTGAGGGGACACTAAATGTTACTCAACAAAATTGTTTGGCATGTGCTTCAAGTCTTGGTAAGAAACAGGTATTTCAAGGATGACTTGTCACTACCAACAGTTCTGGTAGGGAGTTTGGATAAGACACCAAGAGCACACTACGCCCAAAGTCTTAAGACTGACTTTCTCAGGGTAGAAGTGTGGAAGTAAAGTACAATGTCTGAATGGAGAGTTGTCTGGCTTGAGACAGTAGGTAACAGCTCATACTTCAAGGCCTATGTGTTCAGGGCCTGAAATGGCCTTTCCCTAAGGAGTGATCAGTGCTTGCTCTTCACAGTCCCTATAGGAAAAGAGGAAGATACTGTTAGTGGTCTCTTAACATGCCCTTTCTGGAGTAAACTGAAAAGTGGGTGAGCAAAATGTGGTGCATATCTACTGATACAGGCAAGAGTTTAGGGCACTTCTCCCAGGGTAGCAACATCCATAGATCTTCAGTCTAAGACTTTTGAAATAGTGCATTTAGCATAGTAGTTAAAATGAGCCATACAATTGCATAGTGAGTAATTAATCTGTCGTGGTAGCAATGGACTTATCTACATGGAGAAGATTCAAAAGGCATCACTTAAGTCTGCTGACATAGCTGCTCTCAGAACGATCTTGTTCTTCACTATACTAGTATAACTGAAGGCATGACTGTCCTTGCATAAAAGCATATGCATCTCTAACACTGCCATACTACTGGCTGGTTGACTCTTTTCCGATAAACTCAGAATTCAAGTTTAATAGAACAGTTCCAGTCTCTTGTTGCCTTACTCTTGCAGTCTGAGTAAAGAAAGACTAAGGGACTGAGTATAGTGAAAAGAAACCTCCAAGCAAGAGCAAGAACTACAAACAGATTTTTAACTTCCTTTTAGTTATTTCCATGTAGAGCATAGCAGCACTTTCTATTATGATAAGTCAGACTTAAGTGTGACAAAGACCTTGCACAGCTTTAACTTGGGTCTAAAGCACAGAATCCAAATTTAGCTGTGGCTGAGACTCTCATACCCCAAGCAGACTAGATTACTGCTAGCTCAAGCTACATAATGTTGCTCCCCACCCCAGTGAAATTTTAAGGTAAAGACTGAGGCAATTTTGTGCTAGTCTTGTGGCTTAATGAAGTTGTCAAGAAGTAGTTATTTAAAATATGAACATGTATTAAGGCAACCTTTGTCTGTCCTTGCGTTCTTAGTTTCATGAATTCTCTTGCTCCAGAGATTGATTCTCAATGATACTGAGGTATGACAAATAACTGTCATGTACTGTGAACTCTCACCAGGTGATATGAGCTGTGCCAGACCTCAGATAGGAGAGTATGTCCTGTAAACTGGCCAGAAAGCCCTCACTAACCTTCTCAAATTGCATTGCTAATGCTGAGAATGAGCTTCTCCACATAAGATGGGATATTTGCAAGGGTTCAGCCAGACCTGTGTGTATCCCTGCCCATCTTCCTCCACCTTGGGGTTTTGTGCTGTCTGGCTCTATGCAAACAAGTGGTCTGGCTTCCGTAGGATGGAGGCAGATGGCAATAGTGGAGGGATGACTAGAGTTTAAAGATGGCAGCTGCCCATCTGGATTTCTATGACTTTACAATTGCCAAAGTGAGGTCTTGCTTGTGCATATTTGTTCCTCCCTAAGTTATTTGCTTGTTATTGCCTCTTAACTTTACTTCAGAGTGAGATACTTACTATGGTTGTATAACACCAGAGCTGGGTGTAGCTCTACCAGTTTAACTGGGGAAGCAGAATTGGTGACAGGCAGGACTCAGCATCTTGAGGTTGCTATTTCTTCTTTCCAGCATGGAGCTGGGCAGAATGCCCTAAAGCTGTGATTCAGCTCCTAGAGAGCACATCTTAGCTCTGCTCTTCTCCAGGCCATTTCCTTCTGTTACCTAAACAGTAACCTTCCAGATGGGGGGGGGGGGGGTTAACCAGTGATTCAACCTTAACTCTGTCTTTCCTTCTTCTCTATTTCTGAAGGACATGATAAATCTAGGGAGAGGCTCATTACACTGAAGTCTAAAGACTGTATCCACCCAAAACTATACCATCAGGCAAGCTAGTCTGGTTTTAGAGTAGAATTCATTTGACTTCATTTTACCTGCTTAATGTATGGTTTTGAATGGGCACACTCTTTTTTAGCACTGGTGCAAATATCCTGCAAAATCCCTGTTGTCTGTAATAGTTTCTGCCTTGCTCCTTTGTCAGAATGGGCACACAAGTCACTCTTCCAGTGATATCATTTCCTAAATAACCATGGTTTGCTATATCAACTTGTCATCTAATGTCTAGTTCTACTCAGAACCACTTCAAATTTTCACAGCAATACCTTTGCCCCCTTGTATCAAATGTTCCCTAGCTGTGGCCAGATAAGTTGCTTACAGAGAAGAACAGGTATAGCTGCCCGAGATCTTTCCCATATGAGCACTTCTATCTCTATTTACCTGAGCAATACTAAATGCAATTCACAAACCATCTGGTAAGCAGCTAGATCTAATTTTGCTTATATTAACAACCAGTTCCTTAGAGGCCTCCCTCCTGGTGAAATAGAGGTCTCCAGGGTGAAATTCTCTCTTAAATCATAAAGACTTAGGTATTTGTGTTCTTCCTAGGTTAAAGAATCATTTTAGCATTGACAGCCATTACTCTGTTAGTGGCAAGCTGGATGAGTCAGTCTGTAGCTATTGACTTGGTAATGAATTGAGGGAAAAGGGAGAGGCAGGAGTGAGAGCAAAACCCTGAAAGTAACTTCTAAGTGATAGATAAAGCATTAGCTGTAACTAAGGCAAATGAGGAATAGGCTATTGAGAATTAAAAGCTTCTAATCCTAGAGGATATAGAAGTGCTGAAGCATTGTATCTGGGTACATGGTATGTCTCAAATGCTGTGCTGGATAAAAGGGGTGGCTCGGTCTGTGGTTGCTTGCCTGTGAGTCCCTCCATTTGGTAAATGTGAATCACTGCTTCAGCTATGTAGAAATAAAACATGGTGACTGCAGATTATTTTTTTTAATGGATCTTGTACCTCAGAGGCAAAAAGGTCTCATGGCATAGAGCTAAGAGTTAAGTAATGCTAGTCCATAGTTTCTGTTAACTTGCAGGGTGTTTTGGTTTGGTGTATGTTTGTGTTTGTTTTGTTTTTTTTAACCCTAAGGTTACTTGATGACTGTTAAGACAAGGGTTTGGGTTTTGTTTTAATCTGGTGGTTTGGTTTTTTGGTGGGTTTGTTTTTTTCTTTTTCCCCCCAGAGCAGTCTATTTGCAGCCTAAGGAATTTATTTGCTTTTACCTATTGGGAGGTATAATCTGAGACTTCCACTAGTTATAGAAACATGAATAAGATCTAGTGGCTTCATTTGGGCATTCTGGTGTCATCTTCATGGGTGTTTGGAACACATCCTAGCAAATGTTTCTTGCATTCTCTCCTATCCTACTACAGAGATGCAGCTGGCAGTGCTGAAGGAGAACACAGCAAAATATCTGAGGTTCTATAAATAGCTTTAAAGGGTAAAAAGCTAAAGGTTGACAGATTAAAATAGGGTGATGCAAGTACAGCCTGTGGATGTAGGTCAGTGTGATCTACTGATTAGGTATTACTGAGGTGAGGGTTCATCACCTAGTGGCCATAACTTCATGTTTCTGTAGCCTGAGATGAACAGACAGTGAGTCAGACTTCCCATATGATCACTACTAAAACTTTCAGGCTTTACTGGCATTCAGTATTCAGCAGAACAAAACTGGACTAACAGGTCTAATAAGAATATTTCTTCTTCAAGGCAAAATGTTATGTCTGCTTATTGATTGTTATTTGTATTTTTAAAAATTACAGCAAGCATAGCTGACCACCATCTCATCATGTCTGCCGAAGCTGAAACTACTACTATCAACAGCCAGCCTGAGCAACAAGCTCCACCAAAAGCACAACCTTCAAAGAAGGAAAAAAAGAAAGGTAGGAAATGCTTACCTCTTGAACACCTCCTCTAGTCATTGTCCTCAGTATTTTGCATTTGCCTAAAACAAAGATCACTCTTGCAGCATAGTTAAAATCACTCTGAGGTTTCAAGCTGACTGGAAGAGTGAGTAAATAAGCTAGTAAAATCTAACCAAAAGGCAGGCGCTTAGCTTGAAAGGTTTTTTTCTAGCTTTAAGTTCTAAAACTCTTAGTTCCACTTGTTAAATGACTCACTTGCTGAGCATGTCAAGTCACCAAAAGCCCAGAGAAATAAAAGCCTCATGAGGAGGTGACCAGACCCAGATCTATTCACGTAGCTGTCAGTCTGAACCTGAAAACACTTTCTCCCCTCCCACCAGAAAGGGAGTGATGTGCTGGACGCAGATACAGATTCTCGTCCAGAGAAGTTAGAAAACTGATTTAATGAGAAATGTTGTAGATCAGATAATAGATTTTTTTGATAGATTAGGTCATGTAAATATAATTATCTCAAAGAAATACATACCTAGGTACACACTTGGAGTATGTTGAGCATGCAGAGAAGAAAACCAAGCAGTTCTGAGAAGTAGTGGGAAGAGCAGAAACAGCAAATATTGCTAAAATCCCAAGTGATTACAGGGATGGGCATACTAGGACTTGTAGAAATGATGGTGCTGAAAGGAAGTTCTAGCACAGGAACTAGGAGATTCTTGCACACCAAGAAGAGATCTGACTACACCAGAACTAGGGGCTAACATCTGAAAGCCTTACTGAACATCCTGTATGGCCATGGGAAGTACCATTTCTGCTTAGTCTTTTTGCTTAGCACTTACAACTGCTTGTCTGTTGCCTATAAATATTTCAGTCTTATGGGGCAAACAATTTTTCTGAAGTCCCCAAATATTAAGCACGGGGCTCCACTCTTTGAACTGAGGCCAGATTCTGCAAGAGCACTGTGACCTAGAAGGAGTAACTGTCTTTCAGTGTGTGCAGTACTGGAAGGACTAGGGGTTGTTAGTCAGCTATACTCAAGAGACAGTTTTAATATGTACTTATATGGTGTTGTGGTTTAACCCCAGCTGGCAACTAAGCACCACACAGCTGCTCACTCACTCCCCCCTGGTGGGATAGGGGAGAGAATCGGAAAGGTAAGAGCGAGAAAACCCATGGGTTGAGATAAAGACAGTTTAATAGGTAAAGCAAAATCTGTGCACACAAGCAAAGAAAATCAAGGAATTCATTCACTCCATCTGACCAGCAGGCAGGTGTTCAGCCATCTCCAGGACAGCAGGGCTCCATCACGTGTAACAGTTACTTGGGAAGACAAACACCATCACTCCAAACGTTCCCCCTCATCCTTCTTGCCCCAGCTTTATATGCTCAGCATGATGTCATATGGCATGGAATACCCCTTTGGTCAGTTGGGGTCAGCTGTCCCAGCTGTGTCCCCTCCCAACTTCTTGTGCACCCCCAGCCTGCTCGCTGGTGGGGTGGGGTGAGGAGCAGAAAAGGCCTTGACTCTGTGTAAGCACTGCTCAGCAGTAACCAAAACATCCCTGTGTTACCAATGCTGTTTCCAGCACAAATCCAAACCATAGCCCCATACGAGCTACTGCGAAGAAATTTAACTCTGTCCCAGTCAAAACCAGCTGAAAAGACCTGAAAGCCACAACACAGACATTTCTCTCTTAAAAATAAATAAAAACAAACAAAACACCCAACACAACTTTTCTCTGTCTCCAGGGCCAGAAAAGACAGATGAATCTCTCTTGGCCAGATTCAAAGGTGATGGTGTAAGATATAAAGCTAAACTGATTGGCATTGATGATGTCCCAGAGGCAAGAGGAGACAAAATGAGTCAGGATTCAATGATGAAGCTGAAGGTAAGGGCTTGAGCTGGCATATAAGGAACCTTAGTTCTGGGTAGCCTTCAGAAAGCAGATCAAATGGTCACTTTGGCACAACTTCAAATAAAGCTTAATGGTAACATAGTAATAATAGCACCATCCTGGATGTATGTTACTTCTAAAGTTGTAACTCCTTGTTCAAAGGACAGTGTTTCTCTAATAGCCTGGGAAAGCTCCTTTGGGTCTCTTGTAGGCATCCAGTATGGATGCTAGTCGCATGAACTTGATCACAAATAGTGAGCTTGTGTTTTGGATGGGGAGGGGGGAACTCTGTGCAATTTGACACTGAACTCAAAGCACAAGTTGACATCCTGTGGCAATAGTGACACAGAGATACAGATACGCCAAAGAATAAATGAGACCCTGCAGCAACAAAGGTGATTACTTCTGGAGTGCAGAACACTCGCATAGCTTCAATCAGGCCAGGAAAGCTGGTAAAGATCCTGCTACTCCAGCAGGTTTGTGAAAATAAGAAGTCTTAAAGCTCTAAAACATTTACAGAGGAAACACAGTCTAGTTCTGAAGTATCACTTCAAACCTAGTCAGGCATATGTTGTGAGAAGAATGTTGCTCTAAGTGTATGGTTGCATAGGAATAACTAGATTAGCACTAGTACAGTCAAAGCCATGGGGTCATGAGGAATATAAGGAAATTAAAGCTCAGTCTAACAGAAGTCTCATCAATATTTTGATATTCGTCCTCTTCAGGGAATGGCAGTGGCAGCCCGTTCCCAGGGCCAACACAAACAGAAGATCTGGGTGAACATCTCCCTCTCTGGTATCAAGATAATAGATGAGAAAACTGGGGTAAGATATGACTTACTTTCTTAATGTGATTCTTAAAGCAAGTGAGGTACTTGAAAGTTAGACCAATCTGAACTAGATTCTTAATGGCATTGTGCTCCCTTTCAACATATAAAAATTGGCTTGGGAAGTGGGTTGTAATGCTGAAGCCTCCTGCCAGAAAGATAGCTACACCCTATTGTGGTTAGTCAAAGGCTGATAAATCTGAGTCTTGAACTGAAGCCTTGTAACGGTCTCAAACATTCTAACTACAGAGAAGAGCAGATATTATGTCTCCAGCACTTTAAACCAGTATTTTTTTCCTCAATTCTAGGTCATAGAGCATGAGCATCCAGTAAACAAGATCTCTTTTATTGCTCGGGATGTAACAGACAATCGTGCCTTTGGCTATATTTGTGGAGGAGAAGGCCAGCACCAATTTTTTGCCATAAAAACAGCACAACAGGTATGGATCAGACACCCTTTTCCACTTGCTATGAGTAATGCTATTGTGTAAACACTTAATATGTGATAAGGGTGTAGTATTTTGCTGGTAGCCCTATGAGGTAATAGGGGAATACCAGCACAGATAGATAAGGTCTTCTAGAGGAGGGCAGTAGGAATTGACTGTATCACCAATGGCTTTTATCTTGTTCAGCTTCTCTGTAGCCCAGAACAAAAAACACTCAAGTAGCCTTGCTTACTATGATTAACCTTGCTTAACATGTCCATGCAACATGGAAGTCATTAGTGAGATGAACAGAGCCATTATCATGGGCTTTCCTGTACAGTGGCCTGTTACTGTCAGTGAGAATGCTAACTCTTGAGTCAAATAGCCAGAGCTCCACTCAGAATTAAGAGGAATGATGTTAAAACTCCAGTAGTCTCATTCTCGTGATGCTTTGGCTTGTGCAGCAGTGAAAACAGACTTACTTAACTGCAATAGTGTTTCTCGGGCCAGTGTATGGCAGGTCTGGTCCCCCTAGAGTTGCTTCTGGGAGGACTTCTGATCCTTCTGTGACAGATTTTCTCCCTGCAGAAATCCTGTATGCAGGATTTGTGTCTCTTCAGAGAATCTGTATAGAAGCAGTATTGGAAACAAGCTACTTGAAATTACTGCTGAGTATTATGCAGCTTCCTAAATGACCTGAACTTAAGTTAGATATTTATCATTTATTAGCTTGTCTTCTTTATAATAGTCACTATAATGACTTGACAAGCCAAGACTTCAAAGCTAGTAATTTCTTCATACACATCCCTGCCTGTCCTACTGAAGAACCGGTTGGCAGCTTCAGACCCACTACAGGTGGGACTGAGGGGCTCCATGTTGGAGCATGTTTCCACTTTAGTAGAGCTGTAATACCCTCTCCTAAGCCTGTTTTATTACTTTATCAGAGTCCTGTGTTGTACTGGTTTCACTGGAATTGTAGGTTAAGTACAAAAGCTTTCTTGCGTGTGCTCTGGAGTGGAGTCTGTTCTCTCAGCTTTTCACTGTGGGGTGCTGCTTGCCAGCCTATAAGCTTAGACAAACTGTAGACAGCTCTTGACTTTCTGCTAGTTGGTTTTAACATAAACATGTCTAGCTGAGAAGTAAGGACTTCTGCAGCTCTAGACTGCTGCAGCTGTACTGTTTGTCAAAGTTGATCACTCTTGAAATGGCAGTTCCTGCAGTTGCACGTCTAAAATCCTTGATTAGGGGAGGATGATGCTCAGACATAAACAGTGAGATCTGTTCAACGCATTCTCTACCTGAGCCAAAGGTAGCGGCTGAACAGGGGAACTTGTCCTACTCTAGACACCGATACAGCCGCTATATGCCTCAAACAAAAGTTCCAAATCAGTATAGCTGAACCTGCCACCATCTCAGCAACTATTCAAAACATTCTCATTAATGGTTGCGCAGGGAACGCAGTGCCTTTCTAATTCACACTAAGTTTTCATCCTGTTACAGATAGCACTTAAAGCTGGTGTCTGCTTTAGTCATTTGAGGTGATGATAATCTTAGCTTATGCTTGCCTTGCTGGTTTACTATTTGCACCCTGATTAAAATAAATGTAGTATTAGCTATAGAAGCTTTCTCTGGGTTCAGTGTTGGAGTTGGTAGAAAACAGATGCAAAATGTTTTCCTCTCATGAGACTACCAGAGAGCTTGGATAAACTTTGTACTTTTGAGGAAATACGATTAGGACTTGCCATACACTTATGAAATCTTATGCTACAAGCTTTTTAGCAAAAACATAGCAGGCTTAGCACAAATAACAGCCATTTTCCCTGTGGAGTTAACAACAGTTCTAAGCTCGTTGTGCCCCATCATCCTTGGATTCTGCGTAGGTTCTCGTGTGGTAACTAGACAGTCCTTTAAATTCTTGCTTTTCCAGTTATCTCAACCTTACTGTTGCACCATTTGGGAATGTTTGGCTTGCTGCTCCCTGGACTTCTACTGAAGTAAGCTGTGAAGTTGTACATGGTCTAAAATCTACATTCTTTTTCAGGCTGAGCCTCTGGTTGTTGATCTTAAGGACCTCTTTCAACTAATATATAATATGAAGAAGAAGGAAGAAGGTGACAAGAAAAAGGTGAGTAAAATTATAGAAACTGCATTAGTCTGCATAGAAATAAAGCTTGCTTCAGCTTTGGCTTGGCTTTTGGGCTCTTACAAGACTTGATGCTGAGGTTTGCCTAAATCCAGGATCACTTGAAGCTATTGGTTGATAGTTGTATGAACAGGTTGATTACCTCCTAGATCTGGTAAGCTCTCCAAAGCAAGAGGCTTTGGATATTCTACATGATGTCTAGGTACTAAAAGCCTTCTCTTCTTCTTTAGAGTGAAGAAGCAAGTAAGACTGAGGTAAGCCACTCCAATTCAGCCTCACTTGATTAGGTATGCTGCTGCAACACAACTAGCTTTGACTTTCTTTACATTGCCAGCATTATGGAGGTAATGTCAGATACTGTTGTGGTTTAGCCCAGCCAGCAACTAAGCACCACGCAGCTGTTTGCTCACTCCCCCTGCCCCAATGGGATGGGGGAGAGAATCAGAGGAGTAAGAGTGAGGAAAAAATCCTGGGCTGAGATAAGAACAGTTTAATAATTGAAATAAGGTAAAATAGTAATGATAATAATAACAATATAATAATAATATACAGAGCAAGTGACGCACAATGCAATTGCTCACCACCCACCAACTGATACCCAGACAGTTCCTGAGCAGCGATTGCTGCTTCCTGGCCAACTCCCCCCAGTTTATATACTGAGCATGACATCATATGGTATGGAATAGCCCTTTGGCCAGTTTGGATCACCTATTCTGGCTGTGCCCCCTCCCAGTTTTCTTGTGCTCCTGGCCGAGCATGGGAAGCTGAAAAGTCTTTGACTAGCATAAGCAGTACTCAGCAACTACTAAAACATCAGTGTTATCGGCATTCTTCTCATCCTAAATCCAAAACACAGCACTATGCCAGCTACTAGGAAGAAAATTAACTCTATCCCAGCCAAAACCAGGGCAGACCCCCAATTACATTGAAATGGGAGTAAAAGGGGCCTACAGAACTAATACTGAGTAGTAATCTCCCTCATACTTTCTCTTTCCATCACTTGCTCTTTGAAACCTGCATGTACCTTGCTTAAGGCAAGTTTTAATATTCTAATTATTGCTGACACTGTTATCCATCCATTACAGAATGGTAGCGAAGTATTACCTGCTGATCAAGCTGACAAAATGAAACTGGTAGGTTAAATTTTAGAACTTTATGCTGATGCCATTAAGGAGTTCCTAACTGACTGTCACCACATTGTGTGGGAAATGCAGTATTTATAGATGTGTTTACAGTAGATCTGCATAATTCTTGATTCCTGCTCTTGCAAGAACTCTAACAGATACCAATTCTTTCAATATTTCTGCCTTCAAGGGAGTTGACCAGATGGACTTGTTTGGGGATATGTCAACACCTCCTGATATAAGCAGTCCCACAGTGAGTAGAATCTGGCTTAGCTGTCTTCATTCTGCCTTTGAGAGCAAACTTAGTCCTAGTAATAAGATCTGTTTTTACTTTGTTAGTCTGGTTTCACTGAGACATCTTCTAGCTATCATCAGTATACTAGTGTTTTAGGGCTATAATAGTATCTACTTACTAACTAGAGTAGTTAATGTCATTCTCATCCAGCAGAGTTCACTTGAGACTGTGTGACAGATATCCTGACAGATATACTGTACTGTTAGTCATAGAATTGTAGAATGGGTTTGGGTTGGAAGGGACCTTTAAAGATTATCTAGTTCCAACCTCCCTGCCATGGGTAGGAATACCTTCCACTAGATCAGGTTGATTAAAGCCCCACCCAACCTGGCCTTGAACACTTTCAGGGAGGGGGCATCTGCAACTTCTCTGGGCAATCTCTTCCAGTGTCTCACCACCCTCACTGTGAAGAATTTCTTCCTAACATCTAACCTAAATCTACCCTTTTTTGGTTTAAAATTGTTAGCCCTTGTCCTATCACTACACTGTCTGATAAAGAGTCCCTCCCCATCTTTTCTGTAGGCCCCCTTTAAGTACTGAAAGGCTGCAATAAGGTCTCCCCAGAGCCTTCTCTTCTCCTGGCTGAATAACTCCAACTCTCTCAGCCTGGTCTCGTAGGAGAGGTGCTCCAACCCTCAGATCATTTTTGTGGCCCTCCTCTGGACCCGCTCCAACAGGTCCATGTCCTTCTGGTGCTGAGGACCCCAGAGCTGGACACAGTACTCCAGGTGAGGTCTCACCAGACCAGAGTAGAGGGGCAGAATCACCTCCTGTGACCTGCTGGCCATGCTTCTTTTGATGCAGCCCAGGATTCAGTTGGATTTCTGGGCTGCAAGTGCACATTGCTGACTCAATTCAGTTTTCCATCCAGTAACACCCCCAGGTGCTTAACCACAGGGCTGCTCTCAATCCACTCATTGCCCAGCCTGTATCCATGTTTGGATTGCCCTGACCCAGGTGCAGGACCTTGCAGTTGACCTTGCTGAACTTCATGAGGTTCACATGGGTCCACCCCTCTAGTGAGATGTCTTAGAAATATGTGCTAACACTATATGCCTCTGCTGCTATGACAGCTATCACAGAAACTCTGCTAAAGACCTTTAAAGCTGAAGCTCTTTTTAGGGACAAGTGAATCCTTAGGTAAGTCCCTCAGAGTGGACTCCTGGCCATTCTAGATGAGTAGCCCTAGCTCAAGATGTGGCCTAACTTCACAAAAGTGTGCATAAATCTTGTCTTAGCTCGGTATGATCCCAAAAATGCTACCAACTTATTCTAGCACTGTAAGCCACCATCAGCCATGATACAGTTGGTGCTGTCAATCCAGCCAGTGACCAAGTCTTACCCTTCTACTGCCTGCTTGGTGGAGAGATGGCATATTAATATTTTCTACTGGCAAACAGCTCTCTAATCTTACTCTGAAGCTAAGACTGCAACTTGAAGTCACATTAAGGCAGTATGACTTCACAACTTGTCAAAACAAAGCACTAGAACTCGGGGGTCCTTGACTCAAGTGAAAGTCTAGGTGTAATCACTGCTTAATGACTCTACAGTCTCTAGGCTGTAGAGCAACTATCTGATATTTAACTAAGGGATCTTAAAAAAGGTGCTTTTAACACTGAATTTCTGAAACTAAGTAGCTGTGATTTGACCACAGCCAGCAGTGCTTGCCTTAATGATTTATACCATGAAGCTTTAGTGCAACTTCACTGTGACACTGAATACTTATTAGTATAATGTATTGGATATTAGGATGTCTCCTTTTGCAGCTGTTTCCTTGAGTTTGTGTACTATGCACATAAAACTAACTTTTATTTTTCTTTCTGAACAAATAGGAAGCTAAAGAGATTCTGTTAGTGGATCTAAATTCTGAAATTGAGACCAAACAGACTTTTACAAAAGAGGATCTCTTCCTGAATGGCATCACAACCTCTATTCCACAACCAAAGCCACAGCCACCCTTTTTGCCTGAGAGTTCTTTCTCTACCAATCTCAGCTTCTTTCCCACACCTAATCCAGACCCTTTCAGTGATGATCCTTTTGCACAGCCAGACCAATCTGCACTGCCTTCATTTGATTCTCTAAAATCTGCTGATCAGAAGAAGGGAAGTCTGAGTACCTTGACACCAGTGGGTAATGGTGCTTCAAATGGTGATATTGACTACTTTGGTAAACAGTTTGACCAGATTTCTAATAGAACTGGCAAACGAGAAACACTAACAAGCCAGTGGCTACTTGAGAGTAAGTCGCCTGCAGCAAGAACTCCAAATGGGGTACCAGAGAGAGAACAGAACGGCTTTCTTAAAGCCCCATCAAACCTGTTTGTGGAAGGTCCTTCCAAAGGAGTATCTCTGCAGAATGGAGTAAAGCTGGATTCTGAAAGCAATATCCAGCTTGTGTCACATGAGTCTATAACAATTAGCCCACCACCACAAAGTACCAAGCCAGGAAGAGGAAGGAGGTCTGTCAAGGTGAACAATGTTCAAGTAATTAATGGTGATATGCATGCTCTTACTTGGAGAAGCTGGGTGAAGGTAGCTTTTATTTCTTCATACTGTGGCTAAACAACTTTACAACACATCTACTTCTCTTCTACCTGCCATGCTTACTCTAACCTCTCTGCAGCCACAGTACCTTCTAACATTCATGAATGCTTCATAGTAGCTATGGTCACTAAACCATATACTCTCTTCCTTAATGCTGCCATACTTCTGTAAAGGTCTGGTAAGTATGCTGCTATATATATTGACACGATATAATGTCAGAATCTGTTATGATAGCTGTATGCCCATCAGCCTGTGGTTTCATAACAATAAGGTACTAGGATTAGCTTACAGAAACCTATGCAGTTTCTCAGTACTTGCCCACCGAGGGCAATCTCAGTGACTTGCCTGATTAGATATGGGGTCGCTCTGGGTCAGCTGCATTTGTCTTGCGCTCAAATGATGCAAAACTCCTTGCCACAACTGCAGGGGTCACTGCAGACTGAGCAGGCATGTTTTGGCAGGGGGGG